GCTTTAAGATTCTTAAAATTTCAAAGACTGAAATTCATGAACAGAAGTTGAGTTTTAGAGAAAAGTTTATTCATAGGTTGGAATTTAAGAGGGAGAGAGAGAGAGAGAGAGAGAGAGAGAGAGAGAGAGAGAGAGAGAGAGAGAGAATGAGTGATGACAGAGCTCTTATATAGAAAAGGGGGCAGTTCCAGGAAAGAGAGTACTATTCAGCTATCTGAGGGATTCTTTAAAGGAATTATGGCAGAAATTGGAACTGGGGTAAGGTATGGGAAGAGATACAATTGGATGGTTCAGATGTTCCAAACAGGTGTCCATGTGCCTCCTTTCTGTTTCCGTAATGTAGTCAGATGCATCCTTTAGGCAGATGTGTTCAATAAAAAAGTAACAGGGAAACAGAATCAGTACCCTTCTGGCACTGCTGTCTAAAATGAGGGTAACCTCTGACCTGTTGCCTTGGGGGTCCTTCCCTCAGAGAGCAGTTCCTGGCTCTGGTTCTTACCATGAGACCCATCCCACCCTTTCCATCTATTGTCTCTCCCCTCCTCTGTCCTGCTGACCTCTGACTGTTTCCTTCTCTCTGACGAGAGTCCTGCCCCCAGCTTCCCCTGCTTGGTTTGTCAGAGAAGGATGAGTTTAAAACCTTATCCACTCCCAGTTAATCATATCTGTAATGTCTTCCTAAAGAAGGTGAAATATCATGGTGTGCTTCAGGAATAACTATGTAGAAGTTTTTGGAGGCACAGCACGTGTGCAAAGAGGGGACTATTGGTCAAAATTTCTACTCTAATGTCTGCCTCTCCCCACCAACCAAACACTCACTCCGGCTGGGGAGCAATTATCTATTTCACCCTTTTTTTATCTGGAAGAAATGTTTCCTCTGAATTGTTATAGAGACTGGATAAATGAGACAGATAGATGGGGGCAGGTATGAGCAGGTGACAGGAGTTGGCTGCCGAGTTACCTTTGTGATCCATCTCTGCAGACGCCTGTGTTAATTCCATGGAGACTCAGCAAGACTGATACACAGCAGTGACAGTTTGGACATCTCAACATGACCTTGGATGTGCCCAAAACCGCAGCTGAAACTATGCCAACTTTTCAGTGTAGTATATCACAAGGGCTACATAACTATGCTGGAAATTGGCTGCATTTAGAGCGTTAGCTTGTTTGCCAAGGAACCTCTCTGGCCCTGAAAAGCACTATGGTGTGATGAGAAGTCTTCTCCTTCAGTCCATATTCAATAATTAGACCTCCAGGGGTAGCCCAGGATGTCCCTCTGGTACTACCTCTGAAGGCTGTGCAAAGCCTGAGTACTGGGCGTCAACAACTGTGCTCAGAGCTCATGTCTGCTGGTCAGCATTTCTTACACCCTGCACATTTAACTGCTATCTGCTTTAATTTCAGCCGCTCGGGGAAAAAGTCACTAAGAATCTGCTTCTGCCTTCCCAGCACACATTGGTTACAAGAAAGTTTTCTCCGACAAAGTAATGGAAAATTGTTTCTGACAAGAGTCATTTCCTAGCACCCATCTACTCTGTTGTTGTCATTTCATCAGAAACCAGATCTCTGAATTAGTGGTTCTCACAGTGTGATCTCTAGACTATCACCCTCCATTGTGGACACCGTCCGTGTTAGTACAAGAAGTATCTCAGTCTCCAGCCCAGCACCATACAGCTATCTCTGTTGTATGCTATCAGCCAGGTTATTCAGATGCAAACTGCATCTAAGAACCTGGGACTTGGATGTGTTTGTTTGAGGTCTCCTGAGGACATCAAGGAACATCAAAGGTGAAAAATAGAGCAAATCTTAATATCACTGTGATTTCCTTATATAGATGTTTCGTAGGCTCAGCTAATTTGATCTGTTGGTTAGCAACAACACATTAATGCAGTCAAGTTTTTGAGATACTAATAGTTCATGGAGACAATACTTAGCAAGTAGAGATATGTGTTCAGAAAGCCTTGACCATAAGTGTGAGTTTCTGGTAACCTGTTTGACCCCAAGCAAAGTTCAGAACAGGGTCTGCTCTTAAAGTTATTACTGTAAAAGTTGTTTCTAGTAAAGCAAGCTGTGAAATAAGTTGTACTTCAGGGGGTTCAAAGCAGCCAGGCTTTAGTCAATGCAGCCCAAGATGAACACCATTGTCCTGTGATTTGAAAGTAAGGGACCACCATCAGGAGTTTCCTTTGTCAAGGATCTCCCACTCGGTCTTGAACACTCTCAGTGTGTGCTGGTTGTTTTCCTTGAAGGCAAAAGGGAGGCTTGGAATACAGTCCAGACCAGGCTAAGCATCACGTGCAATCTTGTTAACTGGAGATCTTATTAAAATGCAGCTTCCGATTCACTGCCTCTGATGTTAGACTTTGGATTTTGCACTTCTAACAAGTTCCCAGATGATGGTGATGCTGTTTGTGATGTAGAAGCTGCTTGTTCTCCAGCCACATGTTAGCAGTGAGGTGTAGCCTCAACGCTTCTCAAACGTTAATGTGTACACACAATTCCCCTCCAGATGAAATTACCTCAAAGGGTGGGCCCAGGTTCTAGGTGAATGCCTTCACCTGGCAGCCCAGCCAGAAACACAACTTTAAGTCAGGCATGATGAAACAGGCCTGAAATCTTAGCACTCTGGAGGCTGAAGCAGAAAGACAGAGTTTGAGAGTAGTGCCCAGGGTAACATATAGAGAGGAGAGAGGGAGAGAGGAAGAGAGTGTTTGTGTATGTCTCAGGCCATGCCTCTGGTGTTCCAGATCAGAAGCTATTTCTCAAAAACCTTCCCTCACAGATTACAAGGAAAGTTTGAGGAGAAGTAGAGCTGGCTTCATGATTATCGATTTTCAAACCCACATTTGGTTTGGCGCCCCACTTTCACCAGCTGGAACTTCTCACTGACAGCGGTCTTTGTCTTTTCACTGGCCTCAGGCTCCATAAATTATATAAGTGGTCCTGGGCACCACTATTCTGAATCAGTAGCTTTCAAACTAAAGCTGAGCTCTTCCTATAGCTTGATATTTCTGGGTTCTCAAAGACTGAATCAGTAATATAAGGAATGATGGAGCTTATAGACCTTTCCTGTGTTTCTGATGCAAGTGGCATATGCCCTGCTTTGAACTAATACTCTGGCATCTCACTCGTTGATCCTTCTATCACTTTCATGTCAAATGTCAGCATCCCACCCTCCATTTCTCCAGCATTGCCAGAAAAATCCCCTAAGTGGTGCAAACCTGCTGGACCCTAGAACAAAAGAGCTTCTGACTGGGCAGTTTTCCCCATAGGAGCTTTCTGCAATATGTCTACCTGTGCCTGAGCAACCTACAGCAGTTGTCAGGAACAGGAAGTGGAGGGGGCTCACCTCACGGGCAGTGCTTGTTTTTTTGTTGTTGTTGCTGTTTGTTTGTTTTGTTTTGTGTTTTTTGGTAACAAACCACTTTTAGGATTCAACAGGAGCAGAGCCTGTTGGGTTGGCTTTTGACACTGTGAAAAAATACCTGAGTGAAACAATGTGTAGAAGGTCAGGTTTATTGAGGTGCATGGTTTCACAGGTATGAGTCCATGATATTTGGTGAGGTGGGAGTAGAGTAGTTCACATCATAGCAACAAGCATCAGAGAATGAGCATGTCTCTGTGGCTCCCCTTGAGATAGTGAACCCCAACTTTTTGGGGGCTCTTTCTCTCTTCCCCAGACCTCTCAAAGATAAGCCCAGGTATGTGCTTTATTAGTTTCCAAGAATTTCTGAAGCCAATGAAGTTGGCAATCAAAGTAAACCATGATACCTTCCCCTTGAAAATGTTGCCTTTGCACACTGTGAAGCACACACTCCTGGGAATGAGACATTAAAGTGGGGGCCTGTCTTCAGCACTTTCTCTTTCACTGCCTAAGACCCAGGCAAGTTGGAAGGCGGCATTTCTGGTCTTTGGAACAGGAAATGGATTTGAGCATCTTCCTCAAAGATTTGATGCAGGAAACAAATGAGATAGTGTGAATGTGAAACTGCTTTATATGCTAAAAGAGTGCAGAAATTTAAGACATCATTATAAAGACCATGGGACACAGCTATTTCCAGAATTACAGAAAGGAGCAGGACACTGTATCTGTGAATTTAGCCTTAGGCCATAGGACATACTTGGTGTAAATGATACAGACAGAAAGATACGGTGAAGTCTTGGAGACAGTTACTGGGTGGTTTCAAAGAGCAGAAGAGAAAAGGAAGCTTCCACAACTTGAGGACTCCAGATGCAAAAATAAAAAGAAAGGGAATCTATTTTTATATGTGCAAACAGCTTTGAGATTTTAGAAAATGTCTTTAGTCTAGCAATAATTGAACATTTCTGCCCTGGATATAATGAAGATAAATAGCAATAGTGGTGGTCCCTATTTAGTTTTGACTTCAGAAGCCTTCTGTTAGAATTTGCTATATTGAGATGAGTGGAAGGATGGTTTGTAGTTAAAGCTGGGTTTCTGAGCCAGCACATATTAACTGTGAATTGGAAAAGCATTTAGCATCCTTGTGCCTGAATTCTTTTTTCAATAAAATACACCCTGCAGGTCTGTTGCAAGTATTGAACAGTTTAGCACAACCCAAACACCTAGACAGTAACAATGAGAATTATCATTGTCCGTGTCATGGAAATCCCAGGGCTGAGCTAGGAGGACTAGCAGTGTCTTAACATTCTAGATATTCTGCGTATGCAAGATGCCTTGGCTTTACACTTAGAGGTTATTTGAAATGGTCATTTCCTCCTCTAGCTTTAGAGGCACTAAACTCCTCAGGATCTAGATAACTCAGACAGTAGATATTCTAGAGTCATAATCCTACAAGTAAGTACCCTACTGGTGAGTTCTGGAATGTTGTACCCATGACAAAGCAAACACGGGGAATACACGTCTGTCCACTGGGTATGAAGGGAAAAGACAAGGCATGCTAAGGCATGCTAGCTTGCTTGCCTCTAACAACTTCTTTCTCTCTGGTCCTTTTACCTATCTGCCTGGTTTTATCTTGCAGGTGTACAATTGACAACCGAGTTACCCGGGTGGCCTGGCTAAATCGCAGTACCATTCTCTATGCTGGAAATGACAAGTGGTGCCTAGATCCTCGTGTGGTCCTCCTGAGTAACACCCAGACCCAGTACAGCATCGAGATCCAGAATGTGGATGTGTATGACGAGGGTCCTTATACCTGTTCGGTGCAGACAGACAACCACCCTAAGACCTCCAGGGTCCACCTCATTGTACAAGGTAGGTGGAACTTGGCTGGGAGGCCTCAATGTGTATCTGAGAATGTCAGTGTTCACTGATTTTTTTTCATGATCTTAAACCAAGATGATCCTTGCTGTTCTCCCATAAAGAACACTTTTCTGGTGGTCATCTTGCAACTAGACCCTGAACTTTCCAAAAATTGGCTTGTTGAGATGAACTAGTTTTTCTTGTACTCCAATAATATTTTTTGTACAAAATTGTCTTCTAATTATTGCTTTCCTTGGCTTTTCCTCCTCTTAGCACTTTTAAAATGTTGCACCCAAGTACAAGTTTGCTTTATTTTAAGACCAGAATTTTAATGTTCTTCTGTTGCGGTACATATGCCATGCCCTAGACCAGCCTCCAGTGACAGAAGAGCCAAGAAGCAATGATCTTTCCTCAACCGAGGAACTTACCTCAAACCACCCCTACCACACACACACTGGTGTAGTGTACTTGCTTCTTTCTTAATCCAACCCAAGATTCGCTACCCCATACCTCTGCTATGAGACTGGATTCAGGGTCCCTGCTTAGCTGGCCTTTTGTTCTCTTTGTTTTTGGTTCTGTTCTCTTATTCTATGCACTTTGGAGGCTTATGATCTGCTGGGGAGTTTGTTGGTGTTTGGGTAGGTTTTGTGATATGTCTCTGGGTCCTACTCCCTGGGCTTTTCACTTCATGGGGCTGATGTTCGTCTTCTCAAATCAGAACTGGTCCTTGGGCAGCAAACTGAGCAAGTTTTGAGCCACATTGTCTGCTGTCTGATGGAGGGGCCTAAAGCAAGTTTTAATGCACCCCAGGGACCTCTTCTTGTGAGACAGGGTAATGGGAAGAGGGGAGGAGTGGGGTTGGGATTACATTTTACACACAGATGTACTAAAGCCTTTATGAGAAGTCCTAGCCCATGGAGGCGTTTGTACCTGTTAGTCACTGTGTTATTGAATGTTCCGTTTGATTTTTTAAAAACACTACTGACATTTTAAAACATTTAGTCATGTTTTATAGTAGGATAAGTACTTTTTTTTTTTTTTTTTGCTCTCTCAGAACTGAAGATCCTGGCAAGTGAAATCCTAGGCTGGAGGATTTTGTTTCCTCCCCCACACCCTGCACCCCACCCTGATCCCTGGTTCTTTCCATCCAGCTAAATGGCAGGTGTCAGGCGAGGAAGTGATGTCCCTCCTGCAGCCTGCCTTCCTGGCAGTATGCTTGAGAGAAGGGTGGGCAGCTGCAGTGACTGGCGAGACAGAAAACGTGAAGAACTGAGGAGGGCAGGTTAAAAGAGTGAGGGGCAGGCTCAGTGAGAAGAGGAAGAAAACACGCTGCGATCATGGGTTGGAGCTGGGAGAATCAGGACAGGGTGAGCAGCCTTGAGAGGAGACCAGGTTAGGAAAAGGGGACTCGGGTACAGCTTACTCATAGGTGAGGGTGGCAGTACACTAGAAGCTATCAGGCTGTGGCACAGTATGGTCACATCAGGGTTTTATAACTTTTGCTTAATTTTTTTAGCCCAAGGAAATTATGATGTTTTCTTTCTTTTATTGGTTATATAAATGAGTATTTTTTCAAACAACTTTGTGTAAATAGCGTTTAAAATAGAATTGTATGCATAGTTGGTGTTTGAGTGTATTATAAATAGCAGACTAGGTATTGCTATATGTGATTTTTGTTTGAGTGTGTATATATTTTAAACACACAATAGGTTTTCCTAGTAGATAGATAGACAAAATAAAAGTTAAGAGTCACCATTCTGTGGGGAACTTTGATGAACGATCCAGGGAAGCCACCTGCAACCTTTGCTGAAGTCCTTCCTTGGGCAGAGTGTCTTGCAATGGCCAAGAAAGGTTAGGAGCTTTGAGCAGAGCTTTGCTGCAGTAAGCAGCATCTTCATGGAATGAGAAAGGGGATGAAATGGAAAATTCTAACACCCCTTAGAATACTAGAAACCAGGTGTTGGTCAATGTTGTTTTCCTCTACATCTCCCTGCACATACCCGTGCATTGCTGCCCTAAATATTAGACTGGTTTGTGCACAATTGGCATTTAATGAATACTTACTGAAGCAAATGTCTGGAATCATAGTCCAAAGATTCTCCATGGGCCCTGAGAAATTAGGCTGACTACCTGGGAGGTGGGGCAACAGGAGGAAGGGAGGGATACAGTTCACATCCATCCTCATTCGCGTCCACTCACGTCCAAGCTAATGGAAGATGTTTAATCTATAGCCAGGTGTTTACATCTGTGACTTGGCTAGGTGCCCTCTTTCCATGACACACCATCTCGAGTATTGGAATCTCATCTTGGGCTAATTTTCGAACGCTGATGGGTGTATTGATCTGGAAACAAGCTGGGTTGAAAAAAGGCATTGGTCTTGTACACAGACTCAGCCCAAGCTAATCCGCTGTCAATATGCCTGGGCTGAGTATTATTGACATGTTAATGAATAGAGGACCATAGTTTTTTCAGAGTCAACCTGGCCTGTTCTTCAAAGCAATCAGACAAACTAAATAGAGCCAGAATCTGTACTGGAAAGAGGATATACTGCCATGCAGGATTAAAAAAAGAAATATATTTATCTTGGGATCATTTATTATACTGAACAGAGACCCTAACTCCCTTAGCAGAAGCTGACAGTCTGAATTTAAGTTGCTTTTCAACCGAACACTGCTGGAATGCAAGTCAGGCACATCAAGTTCTCCAAACAGTATTGTAATCATTTAAAAACAGAAATACAAACATTAGTAATAACAAAAAAACAGACCTAGTATTGTGCCCATGTGGACTTGTATCTGTGTAGCCCACATTATATATGTGTATCACACACAGAGAGGCTGGGGGGAGGGAGGAGAGCCACAGCAGTCCAAGATGATTTGTAGCATCCCGATGGTCAAATGCCCCACACAGTCCATTAGTTCTTTATATGAGATCTTTCTTTACAGTTGTAATTCAAAATGATTGGCTCTTTAACACAGTCAAGACACCACAACTTCATTTGCCCAAGAAGCAGACATAAACTTATTCATTTCTTCCTGCAATAATTAGCTGCTGAGAAACATTTCTAGCAGTATGTTTCCATGCCTTGGAAATTAGTACATAAGGATAAATACAATGCTGTCCTTCAAGACCAAGTTCATTTCTGGTGTGCCACTTTTCCAAATCATATCCAAGAATCCGTGTGTGTACGGATGCTATTGTCTGAATCTCTACTCCTTAAGTTTGATTTCCATTTTATTTAATTTGTTTTGTAGATGGCTTTGTGGTTTCACAGATTTTTCTAAACTCTTTTTCATCTCCTCATGATGATATGAAAACGTGGTTTCTAGAACAGGACTGGTCAATTACCTCAAATGTGGACAGGGTTCCATTTGGCTGGGTTGGGCTTTGTAGCCCTCAATTGCAGACAGGCAGAAGAGGATTTGGAGGAGTAGCTATCAGGCAGAGCCATTGTGAGTCCCAGTGAGAGGAATGGTGCATAGGGAGACCCATTGAACTGTCAGTGGAAATCCAAAGACGAAATGGAGGCACTAAACTCAGCCTTGGGGATGGCTAGCCTGAGGAAGAGAAGACAGGTACTTAGAAACTGCAGAGTCAGGAACTTGGAAGGAGCAGCTGGTGAAGGAGAAGAATCCAGGCTGCAAACAGAGCCCAGACAATTATATGGATCAAGTCTCTTTGGCAAGTTTGGAAAAAAGCCATCTCTATAAGGACAGCTTTGGACTTGTGTTGAAGGCAGGTAGCAGAGACTGTATCAGGAAGGGTGGACTGAGCAGAGACTGTATTAACTAGCAACTCACTGAAGTTACAATTTAAAATAGCAGAAATAAAACTAACACTTCTGCAGTCATAGGAACCATGTTTCCTAGCACAGCAGATGATGCAGAAACAAGAGCATGGACCTGAACTTTCATCACAGCGAGCATTACTGATCAGTGCTACCAGTAGTTACCAGTATGGTGATAGTGTTTCCCTGCCATGATGGACCATGGGATGGGAACAGACTTTGAAGATGAAAATAAGAAAAGATTGTATTCTATTTAAAAACAGAAGTTTCTGGATGGAAGACTGGGGTTCTTTTCTCAGCTAGGGCAGAGAAGAAAGCTGGACTCCAAAGGTGAATGCAAGTAAGATGGCATCCAGAATGTGGAGAGCAAGAAGTGCCATTCAAGGATCTGCATAATCAGTTAGGCAGCCAGAACATAATCTTTTTGGTGGCATGGGGTGGGAGGACAGGGGACTCCACATTGAGTGGCAGTCTTGTAGAAGACCTAAATTTGGTTTCAAGCATCTGTTAGGTGGCTCACAGCCACCTGTAGCACCAGTTCCAGAGGATCCAATGCCCTCTTCTGGCTTCTGCAGGCCCCTGCACTTACAGGTACATACAACCAAAATAATTAAAATAAAATAATTAAAGATAAAATAACTCTTATAAAAACCACATCTACCCATTTGATCTTCAGATTTCATCTTCATGGATATAATGAATAAGTGTCTGCTTCTGAAATCTAGCTACATATTTCAGCTCTTGATTTTGCTGCTAAGCAAGTTTTGTATCCATTCAAAATGACCATCCTCCAGTCTCTTATCAGTCTCATGGAAGAAGTGAGACCTTGGAAAACAAAGAATAAAAGACTTGCTGCGACTGAATCATTTGTCAAGTTGCAGGCAGTTAGAAAAGACATCTAAGAAGCCCTTTGTCCCCCATGCGGCAGTGACTATAGAACAGGAAAGACCTGCCTCACCCAAGCATGGAGAAGGATTTAGCCTTGACCAAGTACTCTTGGGACTTAGAATCTCACCTAGAAAAACATTTGTATGATAGAGAAGAGCAGACAACAGACCTCAGAAAAACAAAGATATTCCTTTCATAGTAAGCAGAAAGCTTTTGGCCTCTTTATCAGTTTTTCCAGGCACTATCTAGGTCTCTCCATTGTCATTAGGGCATCTAATCACCCCCTCCCCTTTTGTTTGGTGCAAATGGGTTTTCCTCTCGTCTCTATACAGAGTTA